AGAAAGGCATTTCACTGTACTTGTGCATATGACATTAAAGGTGAATTTCACTCAAAAACTATATTTTGGTATTTTTTTCATTAGTCCACTGTTGATACAGTCCCAAAATGTTTTCAAGTTTTGCATCATCATGATGATGTGCTGGAGACACTTCTCTTCTTAAAAGTCAAATTAAGTGATAATGCCGGAGAAGCCGGTGTTTGGAGGATATATTGGCACGGGTGCACCAGCTTCGAGGGCATTATCACTTTTATACAACATATTCAAATAATGATTTACATATTTTCATTAAAAACTTTATTTTGATGAATTTGTTCATACTATTTCATCCTTCCACAAGATATAGTTCCGACACAAATCTAGGGTTGCTACCCAAAACGGGTGGTCGTTCATTCTATCGGTTCGTTTGCCAGAGACGCTACCTAGTCGTTCAGTCTTTTTGTTCTGGATCTATGGATGTGACCCAGTCGTTCGTTCTAAATATTCTATTGCCATACTGGCTGGCAACGTTCTTATCCCTTGCTTGCTAGCTAGCTAACTACGGTTAACTTAAAGTCACGTCAAACAGTGCAGCCAGAATAACAACAACCTAGCTGCATTTGTATTTGTTTAATAGTGTTTCTAGTGACATTTATTTGGATACATCCATAACAATGAGCTGTACCAAGTTATCTAGCTGAATAAACTAAGTTAGTCTATTCCTAAAAAACATTGAACCGCTGTAGTTTACAACAATTATAATTTCTAAAGTGGACGTTGGGAGAGTTATATTTGAGTGTTTCAGTGAAACGTAAGTGAGGGAGGCCCCGCTCTCTCGTTTCCCAGATGTTTAGATAATTTAATTCCGATCTCCTTTGCATTATTGTAGCCTTTTCTGTAGCCTGTCAACTATGTGTCTGTCTATCCCTGTTCTCTCCTCTCTGCACAGGCCATACAAACGCTTCACACCGTGTGGCTGCTGCCACTCTAATCTGGTGGTCCCTGCGCGCACGACCCATGTGGAGTTCCAGGTCTCCGGCAGCCTCTGGAACTGCCAATCTGCGGCCAACAAGGCAGAGTTAATCTCAGCCTATGCTACCCTCCAGTCCCTCAACTTCTTGGCGCTGATGGAAACATGGATTACCACAGAAATCACTGCTACTCCTACTGCTCTTTCCTCGTCTGATCATGTGTTCTCGCATACCCAGAGAGCATCTGGTCAGCGTGGCAGTGGCACAGGAATCCTCATCTCTCCCAAATGGACATTCTCTCTTTTCCCCCTGACCCATCTGTCTATCTCCTCATTTGAATTCCATGCTGTCACAGTCACTAGCCCATTCAAGCTTAACATCCTTATCATTTATTGCCCTCTAGGTTCCCTTGGAGAGTTAATCAATGAGCTTGACGCCTTAATAAGTTCCTTTCCTGAGGATGGCTCACCCCTCACAGTTCTGGGTGACTTTAACCTCCCTACGTCTGCCTTTGACTCATTTCTCTCTGCCTCCTTCTTTCCCCTCCTTTCCTCTTTTGACCTCACCCTCTCACCGTCCACCCCTACTTACAAGGCAGGCAATAAGCTTGACCTCATCTTTATTAGATGCTGTTCTTCTACTAATCTCACTGCAACTCCCCTCCATGTCTCCGACCACTACTTTGTATCCTTTTCTCTCTCGCTCTCCTCCAACACTACTCACTCTGCCCCTACTCAGATGGTAATGTGCTGTCGCAACCTTTGCTCTCTCTCTCCCGCTACTCTCTCCTCTTCCATCCTATCATCTCTTCCCTCTGCTAAATCCTTCTCCCTCCGATCTCCAGATTCTGCCTCCTCAACCCTCCTCTCCCTTTCTGCATCTTTTGACTCTCTATTTCCCCTATCCTCCCGGCCGGCTCGGTCCTCCCCTCCTGCTCCGTGGCTTGACGACTCATTGCGAGCTCACAGAACAGGGCTCAGGGCAGCCGAGCGGAAATGGAGGAAAACTAGACTCCCTGTGGACCTGTCATCTTTTCACTCCCTCCTCTCTACATTTTCTTCATCTGTTTCTGCTGCTAAAGCCACTTTCTACCACTCTAAATTTCAAGCCTCTGCCTCTAACCCTAGGAAGCTCTTTGTCACCTTCTCCTCCATGCTGAATCCTCCTCCTCCTCCCCCTCCCTCCTCCCTCTCTGTGGATGACTTTGTCAACCATTTTGAAAAGAAGGTTGATGACATCCGATCCTCATTTATTAAGTCAAATGACACCGCTGGTCCTGCTCACACTGCCCTACCCTATGCTTTGACTTCTTTCACCCTCTCTCTCCAGATGAAATCTTGCGACTTGTGACGGCCGGCCACCCAACAACCTGCCCGCTTGACCCTATCCCCTCCTCTCTTCTCCAGACCATTTCCGGAGACCTTCTCCCTTACCTCACCTCGCTCATCAACTCATCCTTGACCGCTGGCTATGTCCCTTCCGTCTTCAAGAGAGCGAGAGTTGCACCCCTCCTCAAAAAACCTACACTCGATCCCTCCGATGTCAACAACTACAGACCAGTATCCCTTCTTTCTTTTCTCTCCAAAACTCTTGAGCGTGCCGTCTCTAGCCAACTCTCCTGCTATCTCTCTCAGAATGACCTTCTTGATCCAAACCAGTCAGGTTTCAAGACTTGTAATTCAACTGAGACTGCTCTTCTCTGTGTCACGGAGGCTCTCCGCACAGCTAAAGCTAACTCTCTCTCCTCTGCTCTTATCCTTCTAGACCTATCTGCTGCCTTTGATACTGTGAACCATCAGATCCTCCTCTCCACCCTCTCAGAGTTGGGCATTTCCGGCGCTGTTCACTCTTGGTTTGCGTCCTACCTGACAGGTCACTCCTACCAGGTGGCATGGCGAGAATCTGTCTCTGCACCACGTGCTCTCACCACTGGTGTCCCCCAGGGCTCAGTTCTAGGCCCTCTCCTATTCTCTCTATACACCAAGTCACTTGGCTCTGTCATATCCTCACATGGTCTCTCCTATCATTGCTACGCAGACGACACACAATTAATTTTCTCCTTTCCCCTTCTGATAACCAGGTGGCGACTCGCATCTCTGCATGTCTGGCAGACATATCAGTGTGGATGTCGGATCACCACCTCAAGCTGAACCTCGGCAAGACGGAGCTGCTCTTCCTCCCGGGGAAGAACTGCCCGCTCCATGATCTCGCCATCACGGTTGACAACTCCATTATGTTGTCCTCCCAGAGTGCAAAGAAATTTGGCGTGACCCTGGACAACACCCTGTCGTTCTCCGCCAACATCAAAGCGGTGACCCAATCCTGCAGGTTCATGCTCTACAACATTCGCAGAGTACGACCCTACCTTACACAGAAAGCGGCAAAGGTCCTAATCCAGGCATTTGTCATCTCCCGTCTGGATTACTGCAACTCGCTGTTGGCTGGGCTCCCTGCCTGTGCCATTAAACCCCTACAACTTATCCAGAATGCTGCAGCCCGTCTGGTGTTGAACCTTCCCAAGTTCTCTCATGTCACCCCGCTCCTCCGCACACTCCACTGGCTTCCAGTTGAAGCTCGCATCTACTACAAAACCATGGTGCTTGCCTACGGAGCTGTGAGGGGAACGGCACCTCCTTACCTTCAGGCTCTGATCAGACCCTACACCCAAACGAGGGCACTACGTTCATCCACCTCTGGCCTGCTAGCCCCCCTACCTCTACGGATGCACAGTTCCCGCTCAGCCCAGTCAAAACTATTCGCTGCTCTGGCACCCCAATGGTGGAACAAGCTCCCCCACATCGCCAGGACAGCGGAGTCACTGACCACCTTCGGGAGACACTTGAAACCCTACCTCTTTAAGGAATACCTGGAATAGTATAAAAGTAATCCTTCTACCCCCCCCCCCCCCCCCCCCCCCCCACCATACCCCCCCATAAAAAAAAATATATATATATATATATATATATATATATATATATATATAGGGTGGTTGTCCCACTGGCTATCATAGGTTGAATGCACCAATTTGTAAGTCGCTCTGGATAAGAGCGTCTGCTAAATGACCTAAATGTAAATGTCTAATGATGCGCGATTACACCTAACATAGAAAATGTGCTCTCGTCAGGACACTGTTGTTCAGAGGAGCTAGCCAACAACACAGCTAACACAATAACTTCAAACTGAAGCTGGAAAGACTGCAAACTAGCTGCACTTTGTTTCGTTTGACCTGTTTTCTATTGATATTTCTTTGCATATATCCATAAAAATTATGCTGATTCATGATTTCGACTGGCTGAAAAAAGCTGCCTGCCTGTCTGTCTCATTCCGACACTTTTATTACTATGAGACAGCTGGTGATCGAATTTCAATATTGAAACAATGTTGCAAAGGTCGGAGAGACAGATAGCAAGGTTTATACAAATATCCCCTGTTGAAAACTAAATGTTAGTCTAAAAGAAATGTGAGATCATGTGTAGATGCTTTTTATAGCGGAGATCAAGTTCATAAATTGCCTGGCTGTGCTGATGAGACAGTGGATTGCCCAGTCAGATGGAACAGAGTAAACAGACATTTTAATGTCATAATTTAGCTGGTGGTAACTTGTGGAATAGACATTAGCTGGAATGCGGTTTTAACCAATCAGCATTCAGGATTAGACCCACCTGTTGTATAATAGCTTGACAATTTGACTGCTGACATGCCAGACATTTTGGGAATGTATCAACAGTGGACTAATGAAAATATAGTATTTTTTTGTGAAATTCTCCTTTAAAACTTGAAATTACACACCTCTTAGTGGCCCCTTGTAGACGTGAAATGATCTGATAGCAACATTTCAATACGCTTCAATAGGCTAATGTTACACATACTGTTTCGATGATGATGATGATATTCTGTAGGCCTATTATTCAGCTCTAAATAGCCACTAGTAAGGCCACATGAGATTTGGGACAGAGCTACCTGTGAAAATCCCGCCGCTACTCCCCTCCTCCAAAAACTTACTTCCGGACACGGCGACGTAATACCTCCCACTCCCGTTCCCAAACCAAACACTGATTAACGACACTCAGTATGAATCATGCGAGCGTACACGGTCGCTACTAGCGGAGTTTCACTGCACTCACGTCCATTTAAGGGATATCCAAACGTCTACTCGCCAGTGTCGGTTCTCGTGGACAGAGCATTTTGGGGATTTCGGAGAGGTCGCTGGTGGTAGAGTTTTTGAACTGTAGATCCGAGAGGACTTATTTCACCCGGTGGCCGATTTGAATGACAAAGGAACGAACTGGGAGTCAGAAAGACGCGGGTTTGCAAGATGGAAAATCTATCTCTTCTACTCCTGTTTTTATCGATTGGTAAGTTATGTTTGAAAAAGGGTTGTCAAACGGTCTGATAATGTCGTCAAAATAACGCGTGTGCTGTCGTTTAGTGGGAAATATTAGATTGACATGCACACGCGGGAGCGTTTTCACTTAAAAAATCTGATAAGATTCTCCATTGACAAGGCAATTAGTCAAATTAATTTAAAGGCAACGTTATCAACTGATTTTCACTGATCATAGCTATGTCTCTTCAATTAATTACACAAATGACTGAGTTTTTCCAAAACGAACCTTTTTTAATATGTGAATAGATTTTCCCACGCCCAACTTCCTCGTTACCTGTATGTTACCGTGGTTGGTCACAGGTGAGGGGGTGTGGCAATTTTCCATTTCAGCCCTTGGGATAGCCTCAAATCCCGGTCGAAACTTTGAATCGTTCAATCAAAGTAGTACGAGCGAGATAATTGATGTCATAAGAGGTCATTAATAATTAAATTAAAAGTTAAGATGACAAGCTGTGACAACTGTCCAGTTAGATGGAGGCTCCATAACACGCCATGAGTAGCCGTCCAATTCGCATAGATCCCCCTTGATCAGTTGACAAAATTGAACTAATGTAGTTGAACTTGAAATGGAGCACTGTCCACCACTGAGGGACTTCTCTGTTATTACAGTCATCTTGGTTGTCATATTTAAATGATCAAGGCAGGGAGATCCTTTTCGTTTAGTTGATCAGACCCATTTTATTTCATAACAGTGTGTCAGATTGTGTAGGATGGGGTGTGTGTTTCTGTCAATCTGTCAAGGTATACTTGGCGTCACTCAGGGCTTCCCTGTGCCAGTGTGTTTGTGTCAGCGGGTGAGCTTAAATTTGTGTGGTACTGTGAGATGATAAAATGTCTCCAGTTAACACGTCTCCAGCCTTCCTGGAGCAGGGGTGTGTGTGCCCGCCCTTCCCTATGGCCTTAAAGGCGTCCGCATGCTACCCAGCCGAAACTGTTCGGAAGAGTTAATGCATATATTATTTACATTTTACTCATTTAGCAGACGCTCTTATCCAGAGCGACTTACAGTTAGTGAGTGCATAAATATATATATATTTTTCATACTGGCCCCCCGTGGGAATCGAACCCAAACGCCATGCTCTAACTGGGCTACATCCCTGCCGGCCATTCCCTTCCCTACCGTGGACGACGCTGGGCCAATTGTGAGCCGCCGCATGGGTCTCCCGGTCACGGCCGGCTATGTCAGAGCTTCGAACCAGGATCTCTAGTGGCACAGCTAGCACTGCGATGCAGTGCCTTAGACCACTGCGCAACTTTTGTTAGTTTTGGACTTTGGTAAGGTTTTTTTCGGTTGTTCAGGGGCAAATTTTTTCTTGAGGCTAGCCAAAGTCTATACCCCTTCGTCGGTGATTGGTCAACATTAGGGATTCTTCAGTAAAGTCTTTGTCATTCAACGAGAGATTAATCGTTTTCATGCAAACAATGTTAATTGAGAAATACTGCACCAAACGTTAGTTGTACAGTGAACAGAAATATAAACGCAAAATGTAAAGTGATGGTCCCATGTTTCATGAGCTGAAATAAAAGATCCCAGACAAAGATCCCAAATGCTATTTCATTCAAATTTGGTGCACAAATGTGTTTACATCCCTGTTAGTGAGTGTTTCTCCTTTGCCAAGATAATCTATCCACCTGACAGATGTGGCATATCAAGAAGCTGATTAAACAGCATGATCATTACACAGGTGCACCTTGTGCTAGGGACAATAAAAGGCCACTCTAAAATGCACAGTTTTGTCACAACACAAAGCCACAGATGTCTCAATTTGAGGGATCGTGCAATTGGCTTGATCCGAAAATGTGGCCAAATTGAGCTCCGCTCTGTACTGCATTACGCCTCTCAAATTTTGTAACAATGCGGAGGGCTCTGTATAACTCCGCATTGACATGATTGGTTGACGGTAGGTGAAGTCAGGAGGTCCTGTATAAACACAAACTGACTTCCTTTACACCTTCCTTCAAAACAGCTCTGCGTTGTTTGGCGAAGGCCAAGAAGTATGAATGCCCTGAATTCTGCAGAGGCCGTATCGCAGTATATTCTGCACGGCCAATGCAGATGGCGCATTGACCATGCAGCGCCTTTAAGCCACCTCCAAGGTCGATTTAAGAGAATTTGGCAGTACGTCCAACCGGCCTCACACTTCAGACTATGTGTTTGGCATCGTGTGGGCAAGCTTTTTGCTGACGTCAACGTTGTGAAGAGGGCCCCATGGTGGGGTTATGTTATGGGCAGGCATAAGCTACGGACAACGAATACAATTAAGTTTTATCGATGGCAATTTGAAAGCACTGAGATACTGTGATGAGATCCTGAGGCCCATTGTCGCGCCAGTCATCCTCCGCCATCACCTCATCTGTCAGCATGATAATGCACAGCCCCATGTTGCAAGGATCTGTACGCAATTCCTGGAAGCTGGAAATGACCCAGTTCTTCCATGGCCTGCATACAGGTCACCCATTGAGCATGTTTGGGATGCTCTGGATCGACGTGTACGACAGCATGTTAAAAGTTCCCGCCAATATCCAGCAACTTTGCACAGCCATTGAAGAGGATTGAGTCAACATTCCATAGGCCACAATCAACAGCCTAATCAACCCTATGTGAAGGAGATGTCGCACTGCATGAGGCAAATGGTGGTCACATCAGATACTGACTGGTTTTCTGATTCACGCCAACAGATTCATATCTGTATTCCCAGTAATTTGAAATCCATAGATTAGGGCCTAATTAATTTATTTTAATTGACTGATTTCCTTATATGAACTGTAACTCAGTAAAATAATTGATTGTTGCATTTATATTTTTGTTCAGTATAAAATTGCGCGACTAAGATCTCCTCGGCAAAAACTTCAGAATTTATGACAGTTCTTGCGTTATCTTAGACCCACTTCAATTTGCTTACTGCCCCAACAGACGATGCAATCGCCATCACACTGCACACTGCCCTATCCCATCTGGACAAGAGGAATACCTATGAAAGAATGCTGTTCATTGACTATAGCTCAGCATTCAACACCATAGTACCCTCCAAGCTCATCATTAAGCTCGAGGCCCTGGGTCTGAACCCTGCCCTGTGCAACTGGGTCCTGGACTTCCTGACGGGCCGCCCCCAGGTGGTGAAGGTAGGAAACATCTCCACTTCGCTGATCCTCAACACTGGGGCCCCACAAGGGTGCATGCTCAGCCCCCTCCTGTACTCCCTGTTCACCCATCCCATGACTGTGTGGCCAAGCACGCCTCCAACTCAATCATCAAGTTTGCGGACGACACAACAGTAGTAGGCTTGATTACCAACACTGACGAGACCGCCTACAGGGAGGAGGTGAGGGCTCTGGGAGTGTGGTGCCAGGAAAATAACCTCTCACTCAACATCAACAAAACAAAGGAGATGATCATGGACTTCAGGAAACAGCAGAGGGTGCACCCCCCTATCCACATTGACGGGACTGCAGTGGAGAAGGTGGAACGCTTCAAGTTCCTTGGCGTACACATCACTGAAAACTGAAATGGTCCACCCACGCAGACAGTGTGGTGAAGGCGCAACAGAGCCTCTTCAACCTCAGGAGGCTGAAGATATTTGCTTGGCACCTAAAACCCTCACAAACTTTTACAGATGCACAATTGAGAGCATCCTGTCGGGCTGTATCACCGCCTGGTACGGCAACTGCACCACCCGCAACCGCAGGGCTCTCCAGAGGGTGGTGCGGTCTGTCGAACGCATTATTGGGGGCAAACTACCTGCCCTCCAAGACACATACAGCACCCGATGTCACAGGAAGGCCAAAAAGATAATCAAGGACATCAACCACCCGAGCCACTGCCTGTTCACCCCGCTATCATCCAGAAGGTGAGGTCAGTACAGGTGCATCAAAGCTGGGACCGAGAGAATGAAAAACAGCTTCTATCTCAAGGCCATCAGACTGTTAAAAAGCCATCACTAGCACATTGGAGGCTGCTGCAGCCTATTGAAATCACTGGCCACTTTAATAATGTTTACATATCTTGCACTACTCATCTCATATGTATATACTGTATTCTATAATATTCTACTGTATCTTAGTCCATGCTGCTCTGTCATTGCTTGTCCATATATGTATATATTCTTAAATTCCATTCCTTACTTAGATGTGTGTGTATTGGGTATATGTTGTGAAATTGTTAGATACAGTGCCTTGCAAAAGTATTAATTCCTTTTGGCGTTTTTCCTGTTTTGTTGCATTACAACCTGTAATTTAAATGGATTTTTATTGGGATTTCATGTAATGGACATACACAAGAGTCCAAATTGGTGAAATGAAAAAAATAACTTGTTAAAAAAAATTCTAAAAAATAAATAATGGAAAAGTGGTGCATGCATATGTAGTCGCACCCTTTGCTATGAAGCCCCTAAATAAGATCTGGTGCAACCAATTACCTTCAGAAGTCACATATTTAGTTAGATTGCACACAGGTGGACTTTATTTAAGTGTCACATGATCTCAGTGTGTGTGTATATATATATAATCTGTTCTGAAAGGCCCCAGAGTCTGCAACACCACTAAGCAAGGGGCACCACCAAGCAAGCGGCACAATGAAGACTAAGGAGCTCTCCAAACAGGTTAGGGACAAAGTTGTAGAGAAGTACAGATCAGGGTTGGGTTATAAAAAAAATGGCAAACTTTGAACATCCCACGGAGCACCATTTAAATCCATTATTTAAAAAATTGAAAGAATATGGCACCACCACAAACCTGCCAAGAGAGGGCTGCCCACCAAAACTCACGGACCAGGCAAGGAGGGCATTAATCAGAGAAGCAACAAAGAGACCAAAGATAACCCTGAAGGAACTGCAAAGCTCTGCAGTAGAGATTGGAGTATCTGTCCATAGGACCACTTTAAGCCGTACACTCCACAGAGCTGGGCTTTACGGAAGAGTGGCCAGAAAAAAGTCATTGTTTTTAAAGAAAAAAATAAGCAAACACGTTTGGTGTTCGCCAAAAGGCATGTGGGAGACTCCCCAAACATATGGAAGAAGGTACTCTGGTCAGATGAAACAAAAATTGAGCTTTTTGGCCATCAAGGAAACGCTATGTCTGGCGTAAACCCAACATCTCATCACCCCGAGCACACCATCCCCACAGTGAAGCATGGTGGTTGCATCATCATGCTGTGGGGATGTTTTTCATCAGCAGGGACTGGGAAACTGGTCAGAATTGAAGGAATGATGGATGGCGCTAAATACAGGGAAATTCTTGAGGGAAACCTGTTTCAGTCTTCCATAGATTTGAGACTGGGACGGAGGTTCACCTTCCAGCAGGACAATGACCCTAAGCATACTGCTAAAGCATCACTCGAGTGGTTTAATGGGAAACGTCTTGGAATGGCCTAGTCAAAGCCCAGACCTCAATCCAATTGAGAATCTGTGGTATGACTCAAAGATTGCTGTACACCAGCGGAACCCTTCCAACTTGAAGGAGCTGAAGCAGTTTTGCCTTGAAGAATGGGCAATAATCCCTGTGTCTAGATGTGCCAAGCTTATGAGACATATCCCCAAGAGACTTGCAGCTGTAATTGCTGCAAGAGGAGGTTCTACAAAGTATTGACTTGGGGGGTGAATAGTTATGCACGCTCAAGTTGTCTGTTTTGTGATATTTCTTGTTTGTTTCACAAGAAAATATATTTAGCATCTTCAAAGTGGTAGGCATGTTGTGTAAATCAAATTTTACAAACCCCCCCAAAAAATCCATTTTAATTCCAGGTTGTAAGGCAACAAAATAGGAAAAATGCCAAGTGGGGTGAATACTTTCGCAAGCCACTGTATTACTTGCTAGATTTTACTGCACTGGCGGAGCTAGAAGCACAATCCTTTCGCTACACCCGCAATAACATCTGCTAAACACGTGTATGTGACAAATAAAATTGATTTGACTATTTTGAGGAAGTGTATACCGGCTACGGTGTCTCAAAATGGACAAACAGTACTTTTGCCGCTTTTGTTTTCAGTTTTTCAAGCAAAGGTCTTTTTAAGGGAGTATGCGAGCACTCTCATTCGGTTTGCCTAACTGAGTTTGGCTAGGCGCCAGCTGAACTGAAGCTAACTGACGCCTTTAGACCTATAGCCTAAACCAGGGATATCAAACATACGGCCCGCGGGGGGATATACGTGCACCTTCCCTAAACAGGGTTGATGACGTACTGCTGCCCTAGCTCTCCAAAACCCTTCTGTATATAAGAGAACCTATGAAAATCCTATCTTTCATATTGGCATCAAATAATCTTCCAAATAAAAGAAATGCACTTACTTTAGCAGTTTTGCCCAGATCCACAAGCTGTGTGTGCCTCCAGTTAACGAACTACACTTTCTCCCCAGTTAAGATTCCAAACAGGTGTTCGGAGCATGCTAGATGGCTAATTAGCACAGGTGGCCACATATGTCTTCTGTCTGTCTTCCGTAAACAAGTGATGTAACATGGAAATATGCCCACGTGGGAACACTAACCCTATAAAGGTGTGTAGTAATTTAACCATTTTTTCACTGCAATGAAAGATGCGTTCCTTATGTTTCCAAAACCGTACCGCAAGCAATGTGTGTTAATGTTAGAGCAAGTGTTGGGGCTCTGAACAACACTGCCCCGATCAGAAGATACTATTGTCAATTGGCGCTAAAGCAGTTAGCGTCTATTAATGGGGTACTACTGCCCATTCTTCCATTGTGTGTTTGTGTGTGAGCGAGCTTCCGATAGCCTGCATGATTCCGTTTTGTAGAATGAACACAGCAGGAAGACTGATTGTTCCAATGGACGTTCCGATGCTGTATGATTCAGTTGGACGTTCTGATGTTGTATGATTCAGTTGGACGTTCCGATGCTGTAAATCCATCCTCTACTACTAGACCACCAGACCAGTTAAGTCTCTCCACCTTCCTCTCCTTAACTGGGCTGTCTCATATTGCCTGTTTACTCTGTGGCCCTAGAGACTGTTTGGATAAGAGTGGCTTAATAGTTGCGCGGTAATATTAGTCACTCCTAAGTGGTGTCCGACCAGTATAATATCCCTTCTCTTATGACGTAGGGTAAATCAAAGGGATGACAGCCACAGAACCAGAATGTTCCAGCAGTGTTTAATGGACCACCTTCAAACGTCTATTTACCAGTTCCTTGAGTGTCCCACAATGTTAGGACAGGAAAAAGGGTTAAGTTATACTGCATGTCAACAGGGCGTTTTGAAGTTAAATGTAAATCACTAAGGACCCAAACAAACGTCCAACTAAGGCACTGGTGTAGGATCATATTGGAATGCTGCCAACGTTACCATTAGAAATGGAGCATTATGGAAATGTTCAGAGAAGGCTTTGCTCTTTGGTTGTTCCAGCTGGGATGTAACGGGGACTATTTCTGGGCTGTGGGGTTGTTCTTTTGAAAGCTGCTGGTGCATCAGCACTTTGTTCTTACCAAATGAGCTGACTTCTATATCATATTTCCTGATACTGTTCCTTGGTGTGCGTGTGTTTGTGGTGTGTGTGGGTGAGGGAGCATGTGTTGCTCCATGCTGGCCATGACACGTGCACACTCTTCCACTCAGCCTGTTCAGACAAGCCTGGTGTGTGCGTGCATGTTTGCTGCTGTTCCCCTATGCCCATCCAAACAAGCCTGTACTTTATGTGAGCTTTCTCTCTCTAGCTAGAGTAAGTGGTCTAGCCTGTTCCCTTCTCTAGCAAGACTGTCTCTCTGTACGGGTGCATCTAAATAGTCTGTAGTGGCTTCCTTTCCTCAACTCCTTTCCTTCATCTACTCCAGTCTAAAAAGGTTACTTTCACCTGTTACTATGTCAGTGGGACTGAAGGAAAGGAGACAAGGAGAGGAACCACTTTAGATTGATTCACCCATTGAGTGCAGCGGCGTTAGGGTTTAGGTGTCTGTGGGCGATTTGATGAACACACACGCACACTCTGTGGGTTTGGAATCATAGAGAAATCAAACCAAAGGTAGTATCTAAGTGTATATTTAGCCTGCCCTATGCTAAAAATATCCAAGTATCTCAACTGTATGCATATTGTTAAGCAGAGAGGCTTTCAAGAGGTTAGCTAAGGAAGTCTGATGTGGTAAGAACGCTGTCGTGTGGGGGATTCTGCAGATTTTATATGTGTGTATCTGTCGATAACGTGTGTGTTCTCTCTAGGTGTATCCCATGCCAGGGTGGTGTCTGTGTCCCCTGGCCCTCTGCGCCGGGTGGAGGGCCAACCTGTCTCGCTACGCTGTGATGTCACTGACTATGAGGGGCCCAGGGAGCAGGAATTTGAATGGACCATACAGCAGGGGGAGGCGGGGTCTATCCAAGTAATCTCCACCTTTGACCCAAACTTCTCGGACGTGTCGCTAAGCGACCGGGTGGCCAGTGGTGACCTGAGTATGGTGCGGCTGGGGGACAGCGCGGTGGAGCTGAGGATTCAGGAAGTGAGGTCATCCGACAGCGCCACATACCTCTGCAGTACAACCAGTACGGACTCTGTCATCAGCGGGAACTACGAGGCAGGGGTGACGCTCAAAGGTGGGTCAGAGACGTGTGTGGGAGGGACTAATAGACTGAGTGACTCATTTAACCATCAGAGAGTGGACTCACCGTATATATACATGTAGGAAAACTGTTTTAACTTCAAACTAGATTACAGTCAGACCTTCATTATCAAATCACATTTTATTGGTCACATACACATATTTAGCTGATGTTATTGCGGGTGTAGCGAAATGCTTGTGTTCCTAGCTCCAGCAGTGCTAGCTCCAATTTATATTCTGACTGAGGTTGGCTGGATTAGAAGGCCCGTACGGTATAGCTGTGTGTGTGTGTTAGATCATGTTCTCCTTGCTGTGGTTGAGCCTAGTTGTGGTCAGTGTGGTCTATTGAACTCGGCTCACATCCCTTTCTTACACATGACTCGCTCTCTTAAGCTAGTGTTTGTCAGGCCGCACATAATAATAATAATAATAATAATGTATGTGCTTATATACTGTATACACTACAGTATACTTACATGGACACAGCTGCACTTTCCTTAGATGGACTGGTTCAGGATCAGCTATGTGATTTTAACCTCAATTATCCTAGTCTGCTTTGGGGAGGAAAAACCTGTTCTTAGATCTGCTGCTTTGGGGAAACACTAATGAGAGGTGATCAGGTGGTGATTTCACCCATGTTCGCACATGTTCAGTCTTCCAACACACACACACACACACTTGGAGAGCATATGCCAGGTGGGTGTATTCATCTCATGTCAAATGGGGGTTGCTGGTTATTTCTGTTGAGCTGACTGTCACCCTGTTAGGAACAGTCTGTCTGAATAAGCTGAGGGAGAGAGGAAAAATAGTTAGTGGTGAATTGAGCTGATGAGAGCTGGAACCGGTAGATGGCTGAGATTATGCAATCTGGTTGATATTGTGAAATCTAAGTGCTCTTGAAATAATAGGTGATTTTTATGCTGCTTTTAGCCATGATATAAAACAATGTTTCATTGTGGTCTAGTATAGTTGAACAAGTGTTTGTCCCATGTTTTCAAGAGCTGAACTACACGATCCCAGACATTTTCCTTGCGCTTAAAAAGCTTATTTCTCTAATTTTGTGCACAAATCACTGTTAGTGAGCATTTCTCCTTTGCCAAGATAATCCTGACAAGATCCTGAGGCCCATTGTCGTGCCATTCATCCGCTGCCATCACCTCATGTTTCAGCATGATAATGCACTGCCCCATGTCGCAAGGATATGTACACAATTCCTGGAAGCTGAAAATGTCCCAGTTCTTCCATGGCCTGCATACTCACCAGACATGTCACCCACTAAGCATGTTTGGAATGCTCTGGATCGACATGTACGACAGTGTGTTCCAGTTCCCGCTAATATCCAGCAATTTCGCACAGCCATTGAGGAGTGGGACAATATTCCACAGGCCACAATCAACAGCCTGATCAACTCTATGTGAAGGAGATGTGTTGCGCTGCGTGAGGCAAATGGAGGTCACACCAGATACTGACTGGTTTTCTGATCCACGGCCCTACTTTTTTTTATTTTATTGGTATGTGACCAACAGATGCATATCTGTATTTCCAGTCATGAAATCCGTAGATTAGAGCCTAATGAATTTATTTCAATTGACTGATTTCCTTATATGAACTGTAACTCTGTAAACATTTTGAAATGGTTGCATTTTATATTTTTGTTCAGTGTAGAAGAGATGTGTTGTATACACAGTCCAGTGAGATCCATTGGTGACGTAAATTAGTTTAATTTGGTATGGAGAGTCACCTGTATAGAGGCAGTCTCCTGACCTTTCCGATGGGTGTGTCAATGCAAATAACATTCTCCACCAACACTTTCAGTTTTGTATGTGCTTGGCTCTCTTGTCTATCGGATTATCTTTTCTTTCCGATTTTAAAGTGGCCTTGACGCGCACGCGTGTGTGTACCCACACAACTCTAACACACACACATTTTTACTTCCGTTCTGAACGCTGCTTCTGCTATGACAACTATTAATGATCAACTGAATGGCTTTCAGCACGTTCAAGATTAGTAATGGCTTTCTGTTGTGCGATGTTCACTTTCTCCATACCCAAACACATAGACAGGAACATGTTTAGCTAGTTGGGGAAAGGAATATTTTGAACTAATGTGTGACAGTGATTTGGCAGCTCCAGGACACTAAGTCTAATATCAAAGACTTTGGTAGAATGGCAGCTTACTGAGCTTTGAGTAAGAAGGTTTATCAGAATATGAACACTTCAAAGCACTGTGTATCTTTCTTGTTTAGAGGCTGGGAGTGAGGAAGAGGGTAAGAGAGGGAGGGTGAGCGGTAGGAGGGAGTGAGGAAGAGGGTAAGAGAGGGAGGGGGAGCGGGAGGAGGGAGTGAGGAAGACCGACATTGCGAGAGAGGGACAGGCAGCCATTGCCTGTCTCTCTCCCTCTCCTTCCCCCTCTCTCTTTATATCTCTGTTTATTCAGCTGTGATGGTCAGAGTAAACAGGGCTTCTCTCTCTGATGTGATTATCAAATCTAAACCCTCCTTACACACACAGTTGACAGCAGCACACCCCATTACGCCCCTCACTGACAGCCTAAACCGTGTGTGTTTTTGTGCATGGGGGGGGGGTTAGGAGAGAGTGACAGATGAGGAAGATTTTTCATGGATTATAAAAGCAGTAATGCCTCTTGGCGATGAAGAAGGAGGAACATGATGACATTTTGATTTTGAGATGTTGTGTTGGCTTACGGCAACATCTGTTAACATTCACTGCCACCATGACATTTCACATGCAGTAAAAAAAACTCTTCGATGTAGTGAAGCAGCAAATTAACGATACTAGCCCTGACTGTGTGTGTGTGTGTTAACTGTCTGTCCTTTCCCTACAGTCATTGCTAACACCCTGAAGGTGGCCCCGGAGGCCCCAGAGCCTGTGGTCCCCGAGGGTGGTGACATCACCCTCTCCTGCAACGTCACCCGCCACTTCACCGATCCCACCTACCTGTCCGTCACCTGGTCGCTACGGAGACCAGGCATCCCATTGGTGGACATCATGACTGTTGGCCCAGATGGGGGTGTAGTCACAGGAAGTGGCTCCGCCCAGCGCTACGCTGAAGGAGGGCTCCGATTGGCTAGTCGCAGAGATGGGGCGTTTGGATTGGTTGTTGCCGGGGTGACACAGGCTGATGCGGGGATGTATGTGTGCACGGGGAGGGAATGGACTCACGAGGAAGGAGATCAGTGGAAGAACATTGTGGAGAAGACTGTGGAGATGGGAGCTGTGGCAGTCACACCTACAGGTAAAGGGGATGGGGTGTGTCTTGTATGTACTTTAGAGTGAGAGACATTCAGCCGATCCTAAATCAATCCCCTTTGACCCTAACCCCTAGATATTTGCAGATCTGTATGGTCTGGATTGGTATAAGCACTGCAATGGTGGAGCTTCCACCTTACAGATGTGAAAATATCGAAAGGTTAGGACCTGCTGAGAAGAGAGAGGGGGATCTGGGGGATGGTAGAGTAGTTTCTATGGTCCGTACTTTATTTTAGCCTTGCAGCATTTCTTTGTGTGTTGGAGAGGCTCTTGACCGAGAGATCTATCTCAGCCCCTCCCCCTGTCAGCCCTTTATCCCTGGTTGTGTGAGGAACCCCCTGACACACACACACACACACACACACACACACAATGGTTGCCTAGGGACACCATATACCCCTAACCCCTCTCCTGCATGGTGAGTGATTTAAAATGGGGGTGAAGAACAGAGGGAGAAGCTCAGCAGGAAGACAACATAGAGAGGCTGGGCCTTCCTTTACATGTATCTAAGTACAGACTAGTGTAGCCAAGCAGCCACTATTGACTGTCTACTGAGACGCTAAAGTAAAGAGGATTGGAGAAGTCTAACAGTGGCCTTTTGTCCTGCCTCTCTTGTCTAAACATACATAGTGAACTATAGTGAAGTCATCTCACCTACTACCAGATATCCCATTGTCTCCTATAGTAGCAGTATCCAGGATTTTATTTGATAAATATAAACCCCCTCAAAAGGGTTTAGATTTAGCTTCAGTTCAGTCTCTGGAGTCATGAGTCGTATCATGTTTTAATGTGATTTTCCTTGACTTTTCTTTTGAATAGCTTTGAAACTCTTTCTGTTAACATTAGCCTTAATCTTTCTCTACGTATGTTCACTTTTAATTGTTACCCTTTTTATACTTGACATTTCGAGGGTTCTAGAGCTTTTAATTTGACTTTTTAATGAATAGTAATCCTTGATCTTCTATATGTGGGTCTTTCAACTTCTCACTGTTCACTGTTGGATCTTTTTGATCTGGCTGGTTTTAATCAAGTTTATATTACATTTGAATCTCTTCTACTTCTTGTCTTTTGTTCTGAAGAGGACTTGTATCTCCATATCCAACTGTACTAGAATGTTCTATCTTTTCACCATGTACTTATACTTATCCAACCGGTCCAGATCTACAGTTGTCTAGCAGTTAGGAGCTAGGGGTTGTTTCCCTGTTTATTGGTTCTAACAGCATCCATTTTGTCTTCTCCCTCCCCCTTCCAGCTCGTTCCCTGTCTGTCGTGGCCAAGTCCAACACCACGCTCAACATGGACGACACCCTGACCCTCACCTGCCTGGTCGCGGCCGGCAACTTGGCCTCCCTGGCCCTGGAGGTCACCTGGCTTGTGGATGGACGCACAGCGGTCAGCCTGGGCCGTGACGGGGTGGTCTCAAACGGGTCCCCCTCGGTGGGGCTGGAGCGGACGGGGCCAGGGGAGTTCAGGCTGGTGGTGAGGGGGGTAAAGGGGTCTGACGAGGGGATGTACTCCTGTAGGGTCCGGGCCTGGGTCGGAAGAGGAGGAGGATGGTACCAAGCTGCAGAGAAGACCTCCAACCCAGTACAGGTTCTAGTCACAAAGATCAGTGAGTGGAAGTGCTGTTAAATATCGACTATGTTTTTCAGGTCTTGAAATGCAGTCCAACCAAGATTACCATATCTAACATACTATTAATAGCATTGGCCTCTCACTAGGCTTACTTTGAACACACATGCTTCACGGCGGCAGTAGATCAGTGATGCCTTGTACTACACATCACACACACACACATCACACGAACACACACACACGAACACACACATCACACGAACACACACAGGCACCCGCAGAGTGAGCCTATCCATTAGTCAAGCCTTTTTTCTGACATACCTGCCCCCACAGTGAAAAAGATTGATTATTCATGCCTGTTAAGGCCTAGCTAAGTCCTTTCTCTGGTTTCACACCCCGTTTCTTTCGGTCATTCTCTCCCTCTCTCTTTTTTTTTCATTTAACCAGGTAAGTCAGTTAAGTACAAATTCTTATTGACATTGACATCATGGTCGCTCTGTGACCTAAGCAGTGGTGGTGTAGGGTGTAACTGTATATGTCCTGACCCGACAGGTTCAAGTGCCGGGTGTCACTCATGCCATCCATCAGAGTGTGTGGGTGGTCGTGTAGGGACGTGGATAGAGCTGGGTTGTATTCATTAGTGACCACCGTAGCGAAACATTTTGCAATGGAAAAGTTCAGGTAGTCTCTCCTAGATTCCAGTTTGGTATGGATTATCTTTAGACCAGTGGTTCTCAACTGGTTTTGCCTCGGGACCCGAAATGAACCAGGTTGTCTCAGTTGCGACCAAATATTCGCATCGCGAAAAAGAATCGGCAAAATACAATCTGGATTTTTAAAAATGTTATATTGATAGTAAATGTAGCAATTAAATGACAAGGGAACAACATTCCAACCTCTTTCATTGTCAATAATTAAATTGTACCTATATTCTTGATGAAGAATGTTAATAAACTCACTGGTTTGAGACCTCAAAATCAACCAAAATAGTGTTGCTAATAGCTCTATATTGAAAATACTCTGAATATTTATTTCTCCAGAGATTTCTATACACTTTCTACCTGGTTTAAGTTCAGACTGGAGTCTTTTAAAAAATATATTTAATCTGACACCCGCGACCCATTTTTAAAACCTCCTGTGACCCAAATTTGGGTTGCAACCCACCAGCTAAGAATCGCTGCTTTAGACTACATGTTGCATTTGTGTGTGGAAATGCCATGGACGTCCATTGGGTTAGCATTAGCATGATAATAAGCGACCCCACTGCTCCTAGTATATGAAGCCATCTTATAATTCAGATCTTGAGTGCTCCACACAGTAGCTGTGGGGTTAAATCTGCTCTGGAACCAGTTCTGCCTTGTGCTGGTCTCTAGAGAGACAAACATGACGCTCCTCTGACACACACCAAACGCTGTGCAGTAAAAACAGTCATGGAGGAAAGGCATGCGTAGCCCGTGGCCAGAGTGTAGGAGTTCCCCTCTATTACCACAGAGCCCTATACCAACACAGACTCACCAACCGTATGTGTTGGAGGTTACTAGATGTCTGTTTTCTGTCTGCCATTGTTCATGTTGAGAGGGCAGTGCCCTGGGTTAAGCCTAGTGGGAGAGGGTCCTAGGCAAGGCCAGACATCAATGGAAGAGGAACTGTGCCTATGTATGGAATACACACAGATGAACACATACACTCACATCCCCATTCACACTCAAACCCAAGTCTCATGACATTCAGACCTACTACGCTGAGGAAATGGTAGTAAATGTAGTAGCACACTCTCTCTCCAGGATACCTCCAACCACCATAAACCTCTTTCTGTCCAACAGCAGAGGTGTACCATAATGGTATACAGAGTTGAAGTCCTCTAATCCCCTATGGAGCTACAGAGGGAACTACCCTGTCCTTCTGTCATTTTTGTTGTTGCTGTATTTTACCCCCTTTCTCTCCCCAATTTTGATCTTGTCTCATCGCTGCAACTCCCTAATGGGCTCGGAAGGCGAAGGTCGAGTCATACCTCCTCCGAAACATGACCCGCTAAACCGCGCTTCTTAACACCCGCTCCCCTCAGCAGCCTCCTGTGACACATACTTACTTCCTGAGCCATACTTAAAGGTGCGCTATGCAGAAGTCATGGTTGCTAACATTTCTAATAGGTTGACTAATTTCAGTTTGTGACAAAACAGGCAGTCATTGTACCACCTAAACTGCTGTGAAATACAATTTCCATAGGCAAAAATCTTGTACAAAACCGAAAGTAAAAGATGCAAAAACAAAATGTAAGAATGGGAAGCATAGAAATAGCACAGGTATACCGCTTCTTAGAATTGCTTTCAATTAGGATGACAGATCAATAACTCACATTTCTATGTGAATTTGGTCAGGTCGCTCAAAAACGTACATTACAGCTTTAAGTTTGTTATTCTTCCTCCATCCTACAAACCCCCCTGTGGTGATAGTGCTGTGTCACCTGTCCCATACAATCACCCAGAGTAACCATAGAGTTCAATGGGTACTCTCCAGTGGAGGCTCTACGGGGGAGGAAGGGGAGGACCATCCTCAGTGAATTTTCATAAAAATAAACATAGTTAAAAATAGTTAAACATTAATGTTATCCTTTTTTAGATAAAACTATGCAAAATATGTTTACCAAATAATTGATTAAAACACATTGTTTTGCAATGAAGGTCTATAGTAGCCTCAGCTGCACTCTGTAGGGTAGCACCATGGTGTAGCCGGAGGACAGCTTGCTTCTGTCCTCCTCTGGGTACATTGACTTCAATACAAACCCTAGGAGGCTCATGATTCTCACCCCCTTCCATAGACTTGCACAGTAATTATGACAACTTCCAGAGGACGTCCTCCAACCTATCAGCGCTCTTGCAGCATGAACTGACATGTTGTCCACCCAATCAAAAGATCAGAGAATGAATCTAGTACTGAAAGCATAAGCTACATCTAGCTAGCACTGCAGTGCATAAAATGTGGTGAGTAGTTGACTCAAAGTGAGGGAGACAATAGTTTAACAGTTTTTGAACAAATTAATTTATTCCAAAATTAAGGGAGAGGGAGATGTATTATATGCAGCTAGCTAGTTTAGCCTACTCAAACACCTGGCTCAAACAGAGAGGGAGGCTATTTTAGCTAGCTGGCTATGGCTATCCAACACTGGAACTCTTCCAAGTCAAGGTAAGCTTTAGTTTTTATTGATTTATTGCCACCAGGGTCCACTGGTGTAACTGCTAAACTGCTTTCTGACTGTACACTGTACTGCATGATTGTAGCAGGTTTACTAAAGCATTAGTTCTAGTAGCTATGTTGACTATGACGTGACAACAATGTAGGCTGTTTGTAGCGGTTATCATATGAAGGTTTGGCTTGGAAAGTTTTTTTTCACCTGGTCACATACAGCTGATGTGTTGTGCACTAAGGTCCACAAGCGAAGGGAAAAGGTGAGTGTAGATAGTTGCGAGAAGGAGGTGTGTGTGTGTGTATACAACGAGCAAAGTGATCATGCTGTTTTTATGTGGCTGCTATGAAAGTGAAGTGTATGCGTGTGATCAGGGGTGTATTCATTCCGCTGATTCTGTTGAAAAATGTTTCTTAAACGGAAGCAAACGAAACGGGATAAACATACCTGAATTTGTCCAAGAGAAACTTGCATTTGCAACTGTTGGACTAATGATTACACCCTACATCAACTAGATGCAGGCAAGAGTGTGGAAGGTGGTATTGAATGTGTCACTGTCTGTCACCTTGATTACTAAAAATCTTCTCGACCTGTGCGCCTATGTTATACATTTTAATTCATAGGCTAGGTTGTAGCAAGCTCATGATGGGTACAGGGAAAATTAAGAGTATCATGTAGTAGCCTAAACCTGTCGATGTTACATTGAGCTGGGTGAATGGAATATGAATGACAGTTATCCAATATGCTGGAATAGAAAATAAGGTGCCATGCTCATAAATTATCATCCTCCCTCATCATAAATGGCACCACTGGTTCTCTCACCATATATTCTTCATGTCTGGTGGTCCTCTGTAGCTCAATTGGTAGAGCATGGCGCTTGTAACGCCAGGGTAGTGGGTTCGATCCCCGGGACCACCCATACGTAAAAATGTATGCACACATGACTGTAAGTCGCTTTGGATAAAAGCGTCTGCTAAATGGCATATTATTATTATTATTATTATTATTATTATGTCTGACTCAGGCTTCAGAACGCTCAGTGGCTGCTTTCTGCTGAGGAAGAGGTATGGGGGAAGCACGAAGGAGGGAGCGGAGGAAAAGATGGTGTTGACCCGGTGGAGGAATGCGCTCTGGGTCATATCTGGTTCACACACACACACACACACACACACACACACACGCTCAAACACCCCAGTGAAACCAGAGACCCCCCGATGAAGGCCAGAGCTTCTTGGCAGTGGAGAGGGTCCTCAGAGAACATACCATGGAACATGCATACTCCCTTTTTTCTCTATCTATCTATCCTCACTCCAGACAGAACACCTGCTTGCTCTGTCCAAATAATTACATCTTCCCTTGGCGTTTTGAGTTGCACAGGGTGTGTGTGTGACACACTAACTATATTAGGTGTGTGTGCAGACACTTACGCTTGAGTGTGTTTATTATTTATGGCACCAATGTCTAACTATTTTCATGAAATATACAGAATTTTGTTAGTTACATCTGGTTTGTGTGGTAGTCAAGGTGAACTCAAGTACATTAGTAAGTTAGCAAGCGTCTCTAGAGTTGAGATTGTCAGGTAGTTCCTGTCTGTTATAAACGGATGGTATCTCTATGGTAACACGCCAGACCGCATGAAAACAGCGCGGAACTCGACACACTCAAATGTCACGTTCTGTGTCACGCTCTTTTAGCTCCTAGGGAAACATGGTGGCTGAAGTATATTGTTCCCTTACTGTACGAGGTCAAAGTTCAACACATTTTATGTTCTTACCTGAACTTTGTCACAATAGTACTAAGATTGGATGACCTATTTCAGAGGCCAGACTGTGGTTACCGTTGACACTCTAGACCTGTGTTAACAGTGAGTCTCACACACACACCTCCCCAGAGATATCTGGCAGTTAACACTGCTTCAGCTTGCCTCTGCTCACACAACCCGAAGACCGGTCTGATCCAAATCAATTTGCAATCACAAACTGGTTTTATCAGAGCTTTTAATCAATTGAAATGTCCTCCCAAGTGTCTGTTTTTGTTTAGCGAATGTGTTTGTGCTTGTATTTATTTTATTTTATATATGTCACACTCTTAACAAGGCAGGCAAAAAAGCACAACATCCTGAATGTGGAGTCTGTAGACCAGTGGTTGTCAACCCCTATGCTGCTCTAGGCTATACCCAAACTGTCTGTTTTCAATACGGCCTTTCAAGTAAATAAAACTTCCATCCAGTCTAACCACAACCCAGCAGTAGTTCCATATAATGACATGCATATACAGGGCCTTCGGAAAGTGTTCAGACCCCTTGACTTTTTCTACATTTTGGTACGTTACAGCCTTATTCAAAAATGTATTAAATCGTTTTTTTCCGCTCATCAATCTACATGCAATACCCCATAATGACAAAGCAAAAACAGGTTTGTACAAATTTTTGATAATTTATTAAAAAACTGAAATCACATTTACTTAAGTATTCAGACCCTTTTACTTAGTACTTTGGCGCACCTTTGGCAGCGATTACAGCCTTGTGTCTTCTTGGGTATGACACTACAAGCTTGGCACACCTGTATTTGCGGAGTTTCTCCCATTCTTCTCTGCAGATCCTCTCAAGCTCTGTCAGGTTAGATGGGGAGTGTTGCTGCACAGCTATTTTCAGGTCTCCAAAGATTTTAGATCGGGTTCAAGTCCGGGCTCTGTCTGGGCCACTCAAGGACATTCTGAGACTTTTCCCGAAGTCACTCCTGCGTTGTCTTGGCTGTGTGCTTAGGGTTGTTGTCCTGTTGGAAGGTGAACGCTCTGGAGCAGGTTTTCATCAAGGATCTCTCTGTATTTTGCTCCGTTCGTCTTTGCCTCGATCCTGACTAGTCTCCCAGTCCCTGCCGCTGAAAAACATCCCCACAGCATGCTGCTGCCACCACCATGCCTCACCGTAGGGATGGTGCCAGGTTTCCTCCCAGATGTGACGCATGGCATTCAGGCCAAAGAGTTCAATCTTGGTTTCATCAGACCAGAGAATCTTGTTTCTCATGGTCTGAGAGTCTTTAGGTGTCTTCCGTCTGGTCACTCTACCATAAAGGCCTGATTGGTGGAGTGCTGCAGAGATGGTTGTCTTTCTGGAAGGTTCTCCCATCTCCACAGAGGAACTCTGGAGCTCTGTCAGAGTGACCATCGGGTTCTTGGTCTCCTCCCTGACCAAGGTCCTTCTCCCCCGATTGCTCAGTTTGGCCGGTCGGCCAGCTCTAGGAAGAGTCTTGGTGGTTCCAAACTTCTTCCATTTAAGAATGATGGAGGCCACTGTGTTCTTGGGACCTTCAATGCTGCAGACATTTTTTGGTACCCTTCCTCAGATCTGTGCCTTTACACAATCCTGTCTTGGCGCTCTACGGACAATTCCTTCAACCTCATGGCTTGGTTTTTGCTCTGACATGCACTGTCAACAGTGGGACCTTATATAGACAGGTGTGTGCCTTTCCAAATCATGTCCAATCAATTGAATTTACCACAGGTGGACTCCAATGAAGTTGTAGAAACATCTCAAGGATGATCAATGGAAACGGGATGTACCTGAGCTCAATTTCAAGTCTCATAGCAAAAGGTCTGAATACTTATGTAAGTAAGGTATTTCTGTTAAAAAAAAATTATAAATTTGCAAAAACGTCTTTGCTTTGTAATTATGGGGTTATGTGTGTTGATTGCTGTTGATTATTATTTTTAAATCCATTTTAGAATAAGGGCTGTAACAAAATGTGGAAAAAGTGAAAGGGTCTGAATACTTTCCGTATGTATTTCATTTCAAATTCTACATCTCTATGGTCCATACCAACCAGTTGGGAACCACAGCCAGGCTAATGGAAACCTAGTCGTGTTGTTGGGTTTTAAAATGTGCATTAGTGTTTTGTTTTGAGGGTCATTACCACCTTTTATCAGAGCTGAGTAGTGTTCTTCACTGCCTGGTGTCAGTTCTCTACTGGGTGGAGGATAGATCAGCTTTCTATTCCCTTAACAAACGGGAACGGCCCTTATCCTGTGTATAATGGCTCAGTTAAGCCGGTCTTGGGGAAGTAGGGGTTGGGTGTGTGGGAGGGTGGGTGTACTTGTGTGGGCACGTGTGTTTTGTAAGAATGTTATGTGTATGTTTCGTTCTGTTTGTAGGCCATTAGCGGGAAATTTGAGTCGTTCTGCAGTGTGAGTCTTCCTTTGGTCTATTAATAAGCTACTGTGTGTGTCAGAGTGATAGGAGGGGGATGAGAGAGGAGCAATGGGCACATGGGTAATTGGCTGGGATTCTCTCCACCTCACAAAGGAAGTAAGGAGGATTTTCACAGATGAGCGTGTGATGATCCTCACAGCAGTGTAGCAGATGGTGACAGTGCATGATTCAGCCCCTGTGACGTCCAAATGACACGACAAACCCACGAACACACACACACTAATCAAGAGCAAGGAAGGTATGTGTGTGTTCACTGTTCATTGGCGCGTAAAGGGCCAATCTGTAGACTAGAGGTCTGACTGAGATACCAGCTCCATCACCTACAGAGACCCCACACACACTCCGCCACTGACGCTTAACACTGATACACTGTGTGTGTGTAAGCCTCAGTCGTTTCACACTGATCCACTGTGTGCCCGTGTGAGTGTTTGAGAAGTCAGATTGCCCCATTGCGCGCTCACACACTAAGAATGGGGTTTCTAAATCATTTCACTATTCGAATAGTATCATTAATTTTTGTTGGATATCTGGATATTCTAAATACTTGTTATTTGTAAAATATATATATTTTAACATACGTTTTTAACCTGAGCACTGCTGCGGGAGGGAGAGAGGCTGGTGCTCTATTGCTCTGCGGAGAGGCTTGTGAGATGGGCGCTAGCGAGACAAGTAGCCAAGGCAACGCGACTACAGCCAAGACTAGCTAACTTGTAGCAGCCACAATTTATTATCCCATATAACAGTGCCTGTCTTGACTGGAGGAGCCTAGAGAAGCTAGCTAGCCAGCTTTAGCTAGCTAGGCTATTTGAGGCCACATGCTGCACTTTCTCCCCAACCCCATTCAGATAAAACAGGCGACCTGTTGGTTGCTCGTTGTAGCCTACACCTTCTCATTTTTGTTAACTTTTAATTCTGTAATTTTATTCCGTCTTTCATTGCATTAGTGAACTTTCACTCCACTTGCTACACACTGAGCCTCTTTGTCGTTTGATTGGCCAACATGATAAACAAGCTACACAGGAGAAGGCTACTGGTCGGCTACCAGTATTTATTAAATATACATGTATATCATTATTTTTATGGGGCGCATGTCATAAAATCTACGTTGAAGTTTGTTTAATTAAATTCATAATTTGAAATGGTATGTCCTTGTATGTAACAATGTCACATGGATATTTTAATTTCGAAACATCCTTCTTAAAAACACTCTTTTTTTTTTTTAACAAAAATGAATACTCACAAGTATTTGAATACAAACGCACGTTCGGATATTTGAATAACTGTGCACATCCCTAACACACACCACACATTGGATTCACACCTACAGACAGGGAAAAGCTCTGCTCACCACTACCCCAGTGGATGTGAAGTGGCTTCTAGATGAGTCGTTCATAACTAACTAATCTGGCCCTAAGGTGGATGTTATTTTACCATGTCCCTTTATTGACATTTAGTGTCTGTTTTATTGATGTTTCTCCTCTCTGTTCTTCTTTCCTCCCCTCCATCTTCCTGTCCCTTCCTCCAGAGCCTAGTTTCGCCGTGACCCTTACCCCCTCGTCGACCCCGCAGGTCACAGGTGACCTCATAGAGCTGGCGTGTCATGTGACCAACATCATCCACCTCCTTGCAGGGGGCCGACTGGGCGTGGCCTGGGAGTACACACCACTTCCTGGTCCACCCGGCGACCGCCCGACAACCACACAGACCACCCTCCCCATTGGTTCCCTGGATGCCCACGGCAACCTGAAGTCTGGGACGCTGTACCGTGACAGGTTGGAGTCTGGTGCCATCGTTCTGACCCGAGTAGAGCCGGATACATTCAAGCTCCGCTTCCTACGCACACAGGTGTGTGTGTACCTCAAGCACAATCATTTGTTAGACACAGAAGTTTGTATTGAAGCTAGAGCCACTAACAAGGTGTGTGTGTGTGTGTGTGTGTGTCATCAGGAGGTGGACATGGGGGCGTATGCATGCAGTGTGACAGCATGGAGTCCCTCTAGGCAGGGTGGAATGGAGAAGGAAGCAGAGTACCTCACCCCCCCTCTCACCGTCCGATGGGAATCCAAACGTAAGTAGTGATGACACTCATTCTCTCGCTCTTCCTCTCCTCTCCTTCCTCCCTCCTTTTTTATTTATCTTTGACGAAACCACCTGAATATAGCAATGTTATTTAATACATTTGTCATTCTGCTATGCTAATTTGTTTTCTCATCACATGTTTTCTTTGATGTGTTTGAGGTAATAAGTGACATGTGTTCTGAATGGGAGTCAAAGCTAGAGGATGGAAAGCATTCCCATGTAATCTTGGCTTCTTTCATGTTGGCCGCTCAACAAACATGGCAGTGGATGTAGAGGTGCCACTGTAGGTCTGACAACAGGAAAGCCTATACCATGGCACACACACACACACACACACACACACACACACACACACACACACAGACGGATCATCAGTTTCTAACACACCAGCGATGGCGTCAGTCAGTTTGGCGTGTGAGCGACAGCTATGAGTCCTAGTTCCCACTGTTGATTGAGTCTAAATAGTTCTCATTGATATAACTTCACAACATTTGCCCTTCGGCTTCCAGATTCTCACGAAATAACCTTTTTACACAGACGCACACACGCACACACATACTGAACTCTGTGAACCCCATAATGCTAATTAGATGATGGTGATCTAGTGTAATAGCTACTGAATAGCGATGAGATATGATCAGCATATACCGTAGGGAGTGTGTGTGTGTGTATATATAAAAATAATTTATATATATATATATATATATATATATATATATATATATATATATATATATATATATATATATATATATATATAATTATTTTTTTCTTCTCTTTTGACTGTCTTCCTCTGTCCTCCCAGCAACTCTGGGATTCCCCTTCTCTCTCTGTTCTTCTCTCAATCGCTCTCTTCGTCTCTCACTCTCTCTGTCCGTCTCTGTCTGCAGAGCTCAGTCAGTGTCATTGTCCATTCATGAAGTCCAGACTTTCCTACTGATGGTCTGTCCACTCAGTCTCTGTGGTTACTACTGACTGCTGGTTGTTAGGGAACAGTAGCTGTGGTTACAGAGCGTCTGACTGTTTACTGTCTGTCTGTAGTCCTGGTTACTCACTATCAAATCAATCAATCAAATGTTATTTATAAAGCCCTTTTTACATCAGCAGATGTCACAAAGTGCTATACAGAAACCCAGCCTAAAACCCCAAACAGCAAGCAATGCAGATGTAGAAGCACGGTGGCTAGGGAAAACTCCCTAGAAAGGCAGGAACCTAGGAAGAAACTTAGAGGAACCAGGCTCTGAGGGGTGGCCAGTCCCCTTCTGGCTGTGCGGGGTAGAGATTATAACAGTACATGGCCATTAAGGCCAGATTTTTCTCCAAGATGTTTACTTACCACTCTGCTAGCCTCTAGCTTGATGGCTTGCACTGCTTCCCTTGCCATTACCTCGGTACCTGGCCCACACTATCACCCAAATCCCTGTTGCTCTCATGGTCCTTGATTTTGGTTGAGCTCCAGACAGCTTTTTTAAGTCATAAGGATGAACACTTTGATTGACTCACTGATTTATTGATTGACTGATCTGTCTCCCTCCAGGTCCGTCTCTAACCGCCGTGGCGAAGCGTGTGCGTGAGGCGGCGGCGGGCGGAGCCACCTTTGAGATGAGCTGTACCGTATCCCAAGAGCACTTGCAGGACCCGGGCTACTCTGTGCTGGTGCAGACTCAGGAGAGCGTGGATGCTGCCACCAGAACTGTCCTCTCTCTCAGTCCTGACTCTGTACTACAGCATGGAGGGGCTACAGATCCTAACCGCAGGTAGAGACACACACACTGTACTGAGCAGTATGTATCATAAGATGAATTAAGTTGTGGTGTCATTACTAGTGAGTTATGTTGAAACTAAACTGGATTCTGGCTCCCAGGGACAGCCTTGTTCTGACTAAGACGGGTCCGGCTGAGTTCTGCTTCCGTCTGGCCGGAGTGCAGCAGGCTGACCGGGGCTTCTACTGGTGTGACATCACCACCTGGACCAAACAACCAGGCCAGGCCTGGACCAAAGCTGTCAGCGCCAAGTCCAACAAGGTCCAGATCAACTTCCAGGAGACTGGTACGAGGATGGAACACACACCCTGACCACCACTGAGTTACATAGTCATATCTACTGTCTATACCCACTAGTCTTTTACTGAAGGATACACATGAACTCAAAATATACTCTCACACATTCCCTGCATTGGCCTAGTTGGCTGTGTTTGATCTTAGTGGTAGAGGGGTGTGAATAGTTATTGAAACCCCTACGACTGTCTCTGGGGAGGTAGACTCCTCGTGTTCTCTCTCTCTCTTTCTCTCTCACTGTGGAAAGACACACGCTCTCGCTTACATTTACATTTTAGTCATTTAGCAGACGCTCTAATACAGAGCGTCTTAGAGGAGCAATTAGAGTTAAGTGCCTTGCTCAAGGGCACATTGGCAGATTCGAACCAGCAACCTTTCTGTTACTGGTCCAACGCTCCTAACCGCTAGGCCCTTCTTCCTCTCTGTGGGGTGGAAGCTTCAAAGTGGCAACCCATAGCAAATCTCTCCTGGACAAATCAGTTAGAAGCCGCAAGGATCCATATCACTGGCTCTCTTTGTGTGTGTGTGTGGGCGTGTTGGACATGTGTTAGAGGAGACAGAGTTATTTGGATGAGCACCTTTGAAAGACCGGGTGAAGGACCATGTTGGACTGTGTATTAAAGGGTGTTAGGGGTGTAAGCACAGTGAATGTAACCCCTGACCTCTAACCTGTGTGTGTTCCTTCCTGTAGGCCCCTCGTTCGCCGTGGCCATCCGCTCTGACACCACCACTCTGTATCCCTGGGAGACCGGCAAGTTGGTGTGTGCCCTGAGCGTCTCTGGAGCATCCCCCAAGTCAGGTAGGAGACATCACACACTCTCATCAGGTGATGGCTGGATCACAACCTTCCAGTGTTGAGACAGAGTTCATTAGTTTCTTATCAGCTCTCCTGTTCACATCTCTCCATCCTTCCCACATCCTCTCCTCCCTTCCTCCTGTCCTCATCCTGCCTCTTATCACACTGTTCTTTCTGCACTCAATCTCTCCCGTTCTCCCTGCTCAGGGAGGAGTGCAGTATGACCTCTTATTGGAAGTCGCTCTGTCTCATTCTCTCTCTTATCAACTCTCTCTCTCTCACTTTGTCTTCCTCTCCCTCCCTCTCTCAGCCATTAGATTACATAAATCTCTCTCTCTCTCTGTGTGTCTCTCGCTCGCTGTGTCTCTCGCTCGCTGTGTCTCTCGCTCGCTGTGTCTCTCGCTCGCTGTGTCTCTCGCTCGCTGTGTCTCTCGCTCGCTGTGTCTCTCGCTCGCTCTCTCTGATATTATCTTTCTATGTTCTACAGTCCAGTCTAACACAACAGAGAGCAGTCAGATCAGAACAGAATTCTGCTCAGCAGCTGTGTGTGTGTGTGTGTGTGTGTGTTTGTCTGAATGTGATAATGCGATTACGCAAGAGGGGGGAAAAAGTGTCATTTTTCAGAACCCCAGCTGTTGGTGTGTGTGCATGTATTCACATGCATACACACAGTCTCTCACACATACACACACGCCTTCCTGTTATTCACATGCATATCAGAGAACGTAATGGAATGTCGTGGTAATTTTATGGGCAGTTGCAGCTTCTTTTCCTGATGGTAGAACATAGCAGTTAGTTACCTACAGGGAGACAGCTGGAAGGCTGCAGGGGAATGGTATTACTGAGCTACTCTTATTGTCTTGGTCATGATGCCTCAAAATGGGTATTGTGACGCACTATTCAAGCCAAATTGTTACAACTGATACTAAAACAGATACATCTCGTTTCCTTAAGGTGTGGCAGTGGTTTGTTTCATTTAGTCATGTGCCGACTGATACGGTATTGCCCAACCCTGCCGTCTGCGGTGTCCTAAACTCACACGTATGTCTTCTTACATTCAAGTGAGTGTGTGCTGTCGTTTAGTCATGCACCGGATGGTGTTACCCAACTTTTATTGCTGTCTTAGCGCGCGCACACACACACACACACACACACCCTATTTATTCTGTGTCCTATTACAGGGGTGGGGCATATTTAATCCCCATATTAATGCTGTTAATGTAGGATATGTGAGGTGCTGTAAAACTGCCAACAATACAACATGAAACCAAGTGTTAGATAAACTTGGAGAACAGAAGTCTAGAAGAATAGCAGAGAGAAAGGAGAGGGACTGGATGGTACAGGATGTGACTGATGGTTTGGTGTAAATGTTGAGTAATCGACAGTGATACCCTATATACAACATTTACAACGCAGGAACAAGTCTGAGCAGGATAATCCCGTTCCTACGCAGCTCCGGAATGGGCCTACCCACAAGACCTAGCGTCACAGAGAGACCATAAGATGACACAAACGGCCTCCTTTCCTTGTTTCCTTTTCCCGTTTCCTTTCCTAGCTGATATGACTGGACAGATGGATTTAAACCATTCCTCTTGGTTTATCATCATGACCTTTTCAGATCCGTGGCCATCAAGGAAATAAATATATATTAGACCATTAGGACACAGCCGGTGTGGTGATTGTGTGAGACCGACAGACTGCATGTGTGTTGGTGGGAATGTTGCACTTGTGAACTGATGCAGTTGAGAAAGCTAGCTAGCCGTTGGCCTGGCGTGTTGATGCCTGTTGACCAAGACTAACGGGAGACGTCAGATGTTCACAACGCAAGGAATGCACAGCAAATGTGTAGAATGCACAGGAAATGGATAGAAGTGTGTCCTTGAGTGTGAGTGGTTGGGACACTAGGATGTTGTCATCAAAGAGTTATGTGTTTGTTTTGCGTGGCGTGGCAGCAGTCAGAGCTGACGAGCAACAGCGGTTTTTCTCAGATGCTGTCGTGTCTCTGTACCCAGAGTACAGAGTGTCTGTTTCCTTAGGGGAGAAACTGAAGACTTTGTCCCTGCTTGTGCCAGTTGCCGCCGTGAGAGGACAAAACATCAAAAGGACAAAAGAAGGTTAAGATCAAGAGAAAGATGGAACATAAAATTGTATGGAGTGGAATATGGACTCGGCCCAGTACTTTAAGCCCACTAAAGAAGCATGAAAACGTCGGACTAGGATTGAACCATCCTTTAAGATTACAGTAGTTCACTGTCTAGTCTCTATCTCCTCTCCTAGCCTGCCCCACAGTATCAAACTAGCCTGCTAACCCTGTTCTCGCCTAGCCTGCCCCACAGTATCAAACTAGCCTGCTAACCCTGTTCTCTCCTAGCCTGCCCCACAGAATCAAACTAGCCTGCTAACCCTGTTTACTCCTAGCCTGCCCCACAGTATCAAACTAGCCTGCTAACCCTGTTCTCTCCTAGCCTGCCCCACAGTATCAAACTAGCCTGCTAACCCTGTTCTCTCCTAGCCTGTCCCCACAGAATCAAACTAGCCTGCTAACCCTGTTCTCTCCTAGCCTGTCCCACAGTATCAAACTAGCTAACCCTGTTTACTCCTAGCCTGCCCCACAGTATCAAACTAGCCTGCTAACCCTGTTCTCTCCTAGCCTGCCCCACAGTATCAAACTAGCCTGCTAACCCTGTTCTCTCCTAGCCTGTCCCACAGAATCAAACTAGCCTGCTAACCCTGTTCTCTCCTAGCCTGCCCCACAGAATCAAACTAGCCTGCTAACCCTGTTCTCTCCTAGCCTGTCCCACAGAATCAAACTAGCCTGCTAACCCTGTTCTCTCCTAGCCTGTCCCACAGAATCAAACTAGCCTGCTAACCCTGTTCTCTCCTAGCCTGTCCCACAGAATCAAACTAGCCTGCTAACCCTGTTCTCTCCTAGCCTGTCCCACAGAATCAAACTAGCCTGCTAACCCTGTTCTCTCCTAGCCTGCTAACCCTGTTCTCTCCTAGCCTGTCCCACAGAATCAAACTAGCCTGCTAAACCTGTTCTCTTCTCCTCTCCTCTCCAGCCAGTAATTAATAGCTCTATTCCATGGTCCATTACCCACTCACAGGGAGAAGAGACTGGAGAGATCTCCTAAAGGAGTGGTGAAGAGAGAACAGTCTAACTCACTGGAGTGGGGAAAGAGACTCACTCAGGCCATTAAGTCTGGTAATAAAGGGGAGGACAGCTTGAGCATAGAAATAGAATGGGTAGCACAACAGAACAGACATGGGTTGTGTGTCATGGATATGTATCTTTAGGTCAGCCCATAACTCTAAGGTCTACTCTATTTTTCACATTCCACCCAAATATGGCGACACAATAGAATGTATGCGATGTCGTGACTTGTTGGCATCAATTCCAAATGAGACACCCAATATGGCCGCCGCTCGTCGGACATGGCCCGTTGCTCGTAATTGGAATGGCTGTTCTGCTCGTTGTGATTCTACGAGGTCCATGCAGTGTTTAGTATTCCTGTGTGTTGTGTTGTAGCGGTGCTTTATGGCCCACATGTAATAGACTTTGTTCTATCAGACATCAGTGGCAGTATCCCTGTTGAGGTCTGTGTTCTGGATGCCTGTAGTGTCTCTACCACTGTTGGTCTTTACCTTCTGCTGCTGCTGGAAAAACTAACTCACTCCCCCCTCTGGGGACCAATACATGGAATGAAACAATCAAATGTATTTTATTCCGTTCATTTCGATGTGCAGACATTCTAGTTTTATTTCTCCTCAGTGGGTCCTGGTGTTGATGAGACGGGAGGAGGAGGATAGAGGAGGAGGAAGATATTATTTGTTTTGCCGTCTCGGTTATTGTTGTTACGCGTGTGGTTCAAAGAGCAGCATATGAGAGGAATTACAGTACACTGGAACAGCTGGGACCAATCTGAGGCTGTGTGTGTGTGTGTGTGCGCTCGCAAGCATGTGTGTGCATGTAAGTGAGAGAATGTTATCTGCAGTGCCTGGTACAGGGGGTCTTGGCACTTGAAACCAAAGCTCAGGGGAATAGCCTGATCTATGACCTAGCCATACCTCCACTGAAGAAGACCCATTACATACCTTCTATTTGTTTCTCTAAGGTGTGGCGTTCACCTCAATTCCTCTTTAGATATCTTCTATTTGGGTATTGTAATGGATGTTCATACAGCTCCAGGGATGTGTTATTATTTCAATATCTTCATGTTCTCGCTCCCTGTCCTTTGCTATAATTGTATTCAATGTCAAAGGAGGCAAACAGTGGATTTATAAAGCTTTATAACTTAGGATATCCTTTCAGATAGGAACTGAGTGGCTTCATAGAAACACCCTACTTTCGATTCAATATAAAAGGCCCAGCTACCAAACTATTAACCCTTTACACTCACAGCCCCTGTCATCCCATATACGGGTTGAAAATGGCAGATTTGGTCATTGATGAGCGCCTCAATTGGATCGCAGGGGCTGTACAGTAACATGTTATATATGACGTCAGAGCTCAGGCTGTCCGCCGTACAGCGCTGTATGAGTTTCAACCGGCAGACGTTATAATTGTGTTTTATACAACGGGTGGTTTGGAGTTCCCATTGTTAGAGCCTCTCCTGCCCATACACATGGCCACGTTCATATAAAGTGGCATCGTTTATGTCGTTACCTAGCAACGCACTACCACCACTACTTTTACAACTACTAGTTTTAGCACCGTGAGTCCAAATGTGCACTTCACATTTCCATTTTTTATTAATGTATTTACAGGATCAACATTTATGTTCGCTATGTTTTGATGTACAGTTACAAGATGGCATGTCATACCCTGGGTTGTTCTGAACAGAATGAGCCTATGTTTGTCGTATTGTGTTGAACATTTGCCGCAGAACACGCACTTGAACGCACTCATGACACCAAAATTACAATGTTTGTCTGAAGTGCCTTGTGTAAGCCTAACACTAAGATATACACTGCTCAAAAAAATAAGGGAACACTTCCCAAGTTCTCTCACGTCACCCCGCTCCTCCGCACACTCCACTGGCTTCCAGTTGAAGCTCGC